TTGTATGCGTGCTTTTGTGACTTAAACCACTTTAGTAAAGGGTTATATCAAGTCACCTCAAAACTTCTCGAGCCAATACGTAGGCCCCAGTCCAATTGACACCAGTCAAACAATCGATTCTACAACAACCAGTGCATTTTAATCAATTTTAAAGTACTACACCTAATTATGAAATTTATTGATGATATAGAGGAAGAAGGGAATTAACTATTCAATTCTTACCTATTACTACTGTAGGGTAATTGACAATAGGGAATTTTACATACCTGAGTTCAAGTATAAGTGATTTGTAAAGAATCCTAGGTTTTCCGTTGACTGCGTGACTTGTTCACTGCTTCTATTTCTTATCTCTGTGCGTTTGGTTTGTTTTGACTTTCATTAAGGCTTTATGCCTTTGGTTTGTTTTGGTCGTGAGGCAGAGGAGTGGTATATGGACTTCAAGCCCAAATTCTTAAAAGCTTAGTTTGCTTCCCTTTTTTTTTTTGGATACTCACTTCTAATGATTAATAATTAAAAAAAATTAAAAAAATTTCCCTAATTGTATGTCCAAATTTTTATAAATAGAAAAGTAATTCAAAATCAATCACAAGAATTTAAATCTGTAATAGAAGTATAATTTAAGATTATAAAAATTAAATTCTATATCTAGCATGCCTTGAAACTTTTTATAAATTTGAGGAGTGTTACAATCTTCCCTCCTTAAAAACATTCGTCCTCGAATGTTACTAGGGCCTTATTCTTAAGCTAACAATCTTAAATTTTTTCTTAGCATTACTCACTCTTCCAAGGAACTCAAAATTTTGGCTAACTCCCTAAATTTTCAAAAATTTCGGCAGAGTTTCCCTTGTAAATTGGACTATCCAAAAAAACTATCCCTGTCACAAATACTACAACTACATCAACAACAACCAAATATACCATAACAGGTCATTCATAGGCACCATACGCAGCTCATAAATTAATTACTCACACTCCGGCAAGGAGGTACCACAATAACTAACAAGAATCTAAAGCACAACAACTTTAGCACAAGTAAATCACTTTAATGAATTAAATATACTACGGCATAAACTAAATTACTACGACAACTAAGTATAATCTAGAAAGGACAGAAACACTTGCTAACTTGTATTTAATAAATGAAATATAAATATCAAACCAAACTTAGGTTCACATACCTTTTTCCTCAAATAAATATGGATATTTCTTTCTCATATCTTCCTCGACCTCCCACGTAGCTTCTTTTGAATCATGATTACTCCAGAAAACTTTTACCGATGCTATATTTTTTATTCTTAACTTTCTTACTTGCCTATCGAGAATTTCTATAGGTACTTCTTCATAAGTCAAACGTTCTTTAATTTCTATGATATCGGCAGGTATTATATGCGACTCATCATGAATGTACTTTCTAAGCATAGCCACATGAAATACGGGATGAACAGAGGACAACTCAACGGGTAGCGCTAGCTTATAAGCCACGTTTCCTTTCTTTTCTAGAATTTCATAAGGTCCGATAAATCTAGGACTAAGTTTCCCTTTCTTACCAAACCTCATAACTTCTTTCATTGGTGAAACTTTCAAAAACACCTTATCATCAACCATGAACTCTAACTCACGATGCCTCTTGTCAGAATAAGACTTTTGACGACTTTGAGCTGCTTTAAGTCTTTCTCTAATTAGCTGAACTTTCTCCAAGGCCTCGCAAACAAACTCTGGACCAATCAACGGCGCCTCTGCTGGTTCAAACCAACCCACTGGAGACCTACATCTCCGCCCATACAATGCTTCATAAGGAGCCATACCAATGCTGGACTGATAGATGTTATTGTACGCAAATTCTATAAGTGGCAAGTGATCATCCCAATTACCTCCAAAATCTATAACACACGCACGCAGCATATCTTCGAGAGTCTGAATGGTCCTTTCTGCCTGGCCATCGGTCTGTGGATGAAAAGCGGTGCTTAAATTGTCCTTGGTACCTAATCTTTTCTGAAATGCCTGCCAAAAATGCGCCGTGAACTGAGGGCCTCTATCAGATATGATTGAAACTCGAGTACCATGCAATCGGACTATTTCTTTGATGTACAACTGCGCATACTGCTCTGCGGAATCTGTCGTCTTTACTGGTAGGAAATGCGCGAACTTTGTCAGTCGGTCTATAATAACCCAAATTGAATCATGTTTACGGTATATGCGAGGTAGACCTACTACGAAATCCATATTGATCATCTCCCACTTCCACTGTGGTATCTCTATGTCTTGAGCTAAGCCACCAGGCCTCTGATGCTTGGCTTTGACTTGCTGGCAATTTAAACATTTAGCCACATGATCTGCTACTTGTTTCTTCATGCCTTTCCACCAATACAAATCTTTCAAATCTAGATACATTTTGGTAGCACCTGGGTGGATAGAGTACCTCGAATTGTGAGCTTCCTCCGTTATGGCCTTCCTAAGACCATCTACATTGGGCACACATAACCGATCATTCAACTTCAAAACTCCGTCAATTCCTAGAGTGAAAGCAGTGATTTCTTTGCTTCTGACGCCTTCTTTTAATTTCACTAAGTACGGATCTTCGTCTTGCTTAGCCTTAACATGCGCAACAAGGGAGGATTGCGCTAAGGCATAAGCAGTTATATCTCCTTCTTTGGTCTCGTCCAATCTAATTCCATCATTTGCTAGTTTTTGAATTTCTCGGCCCAAAGATCGCCTTTGTACTGCAAGATGGGCCAAGACACCCATTGACTTCCTACTAAGTGCATCTGCTACCACATTAGCTTTGCCC